TTTATCAATGTGGTTACTGATTTTGAAATAAAATTTGAGATTAAAACAATTCATCTAATGGCATCTACATTTCTGGAGTAGTTTTGATTGATTTTTCCCCATTATGGGTTGTATTTTTTTACTTCTTTGCATGCCTGATTTTTTTTTTTTTAATTGGATGCCAAACACTGTATTTCACCATGTTGGATGTTGAGTCTTTTTATATTCCTTAAAATATTTTTGAACATAGCTTTAGGATATAGTGAAGTTACTTGGAAATGGGTTAATTCTTTTGGGTCTTGTTTTTAAAATTACTTAAGTGGGGCCAAAGCAGCATTTATTCTAGCTTTAATTTTTCCCCATTTACATGGTTAGGCACTTCTTAGTAATCTAACTGATGTCCTGTGAATTGTGAGCTTTCTCCCCGAGCTGTTGGCCCTTGTGTGAGCTACGGGCACTGCTCTCTCTGAAATTTGTGGGTGACCCTTTACTCAGTCTCAGGAAGTAGTCATTACTGAGTTAACTTGTAAGGCTTTTTGCAGGTTACTTTAGTTCTTTCTATGGAGCTCTCCCCTCTCCAGTGCTCTGGTCTGTAACCACTAGTCACTTTCATTTCAGCACATTCTCAAGGCTATCTCCTCAACTGCGGAAGGTTGCTGGAGTCTGACTGGCTCCACCTCCCTGCACCATCCCGTACATTTTGTCTCATTTTTTTAGGTGTTTCAGGTGGTAAGATAACTATAACCTGTTACTCCATCTTGATTAGAAGTGGAGGCGTCTAAATAGGTCTGTATAGCTTTATTTAATATGAGAGGTGGCAGCATACATTTCTTTTTTTTTTTTTTTAAAGATTTTTTTATTTATTCATTTGAGACACAGAGATACAGAGAGAGAGGGGGGGGGAGAGAGCATGAGCAGGGAGAGAGGCAGAGGGAGAGGGAGAAGCAGGCTCCCCGCTGAGCAGGAAGCCCGATGCGGGGCTCCATCCCAGGACGCCGGGATCATGACCTGAGCCGAAGGCAGACGCTCAACCATCTGAGCCACCCAGGCGCCCCTACATTTCTGAGGAAGGTTTGGCTTAGTCAGTGAATATACCATTCAGGAAATTCGTGTAAGTGCTCCTATCATACTACATAGCACTATTAATCCCAAAGAATTTTATGTATGTATCAAAAAAGGATTATAATAAGTATAGCACAAACAGACACACACAGGGACACACTCTTCAGTATTCAATCCCAGAAAGTAAAGTTAATGAAGATTCTCACACATAACTGAGGGCCATTTAGTACCAGCCTTTGTTTTTGTTTTGTTTTTTTAATTGAACAACTCTTTTATGTTTAATTTAAAAAAATAGAAAATCTAAATAGTAATACTTTAGACCTCGTATGATTTTTAGTCTGGGATGCTATTTTATGGAAAAATTAGTAAAAGATATTTATGTCTGTTATTCTTTCTATATATTATTTTTAGCTAGAATTTAGGAATAATTTTTTACTGATAAGGAAATAATGCATCCATGTGTAAGTGCCACTGAAAATGTTTATCCAACGTTTATCCAAAAAGAAAGATTTATATAATGCTATAAATTGAAATAAAGTAAGTTTATACAGAACTGACATTTCTTAAACTTAACATATAGTAAGTTGATAACAGTATATATCTTACTACCTCAGCTATAAAGTACATTAAAGCATATGTTATTAATACATTAAACCTGTAAACAGTATATTGAATGCCAACTTAGCTTTATACACTGTATTCTACACATGGGCATAGTGAGCAAAGCCACTATCTGCTTATTTTCTAGTGGGAAATTAAGATCTGTTTTGCAAAGAAGAGTAGAGTGTTATAGAATAAAATAAATATGCTAAAAACTAGTGTTTGGAAAGTGAAATTATAGTTTTTATTTATATGATAAGAACAGCTTATCCAATATCCACTGACATTTATATCTCTATGTTTTGTGAGCAGATGAAATCCTCCTGGTGTTTTAGAGTCATAGAATTGTAGTGTCATTTCATACTCTCTTTATTTGGCCTCCTGAACTTTATACAATTATGTTAAGGTGTTTTTTTTTTTTCTTTCTGTCTATATGCCCCCAAAGAGTTTATATTATATTCTTAACTTAAAATACACACAATTTCGTGAAATTTAAAATTATGTGGTATCAAACTCCGTCTTTATATTTCACAATCTACTATTGTTGAAAATGTCTAGCTGAGACATACTGAAGTTCATCTGCTGATTAATAGGCTTCATGATAATTTTGTTTATTTTTCCAGAGAAATTGGACCTTACATTCGGATACATTATGTTTCTTTTCTGCTAGTTTTTTTATCTTCACTTATTCCTCCAGGATATGATCAATCAATAACCATGTCTGTTAGGTTCTAGATGAAAAGTAACTTTTGAGAAGAGCCAGAATATATTTTGTCCATATTGTATTCCCTTGCATTCCTTGCAGGGTGGCTGGCACGGGTGATTAAAAAATGATTTCCGAATGAATGAATACATTATTTGTAGTAAATACAGTAATCTCAATCATAACTTCTATAATAATATCTTTTATATTATAGAAAAAAACCCATATTATATCGTTAGTATAAATGACATAATCGTTTTGGTGTTTTAATTTTTAAAATACATTCTCTACCTATCTTGTATTAATGGTATATCATGAGAAGGTGAATAAAGTATGAAATAAAATAAAAAGAGTGATATTATTGTGTCATTATCTAAGTCTATAAAACAGTACCTAGTAATAGTATTTTATAATTCTTTTTTTTTAAAGATTTTATTTATTTGAGAGAGAGAGGGACAGAGAGCATGTGTTTTAATTCTTAACTGTTTTAATTCTTCATTGGGAGCAGAAATGCCAGAAGAGAAATACCAGTAATTTCACTGTAAAAATGACCTTATTATAAAGATTAATTTCTCTACTGTGTTTTATTGCTATATAGATTTATGATGAATGCTAGGGACTAAATGTTGGTATACCCCCAAAATTCACATGTTGAAATCTAACCCCCAAAGTGGTATTTGGAGTTGGGGTCTTTAGAAGGTAATTAGGTTCAGATGAGGTCATGAGGGGGAGGCCCCCATGATGGGATTAGTGTCTTTTTTTTTTTTTTTAATTCATTTGAGAGAGAGAAGGAGAGAGAGAGAGAACATGAGAGGGGGGAGGGTCAGAGGGAGAAGCAGACTCCCTGATGAACAGGGAGCCCGACATGGGACTTGATCCTGGGACTTGATCCTGGGACTTCCAGGATCATGACCTGAGCCAAAGGCCGTCGCTTAACCAACTGAGCCACCCAGGCGCCCAGGATTAGTGTCTTTATAAAAAGAGGAAAAGTAAGAGCATCGTCCCTCTCTGCCATGTGAGGACACAGCCAGAAGGTGTGTACTACAAGCCGCGAAGAGGGCCCTCACTAGAACCTCACCTTGATGGCACCCTGATCTCAAGCCTGCAGTCTCCAACATTGCAAGTTAAAAATTTCTGTAGTTTAAGTCATGCAGTTATGGTATTTTGTTATGGCAGTCCAAGCCGACTAAGACAGAAGCGGGGTCCTGCTGTAACAAATACCCAAAAATGTGGAAGCGGCTTTGGAACTGGGTGATGGGTAGAAGCTGGAAGGGTTTTGAGGTACATGCTGGAAGAAGCTGAGATTGCTGTGAAGGTCGTGCTCAAGGCAATTCTGGTGAGGATTCAGAAAGAAAAGAGGAGAGCTAGAAAGCCTCCATCTTCTTAGAGAATACTATATAAATAATCATGAACAGAATGTTGGTAGATATATGGATGGTAAAGGCCATTCTGATGAATTCCCAGATAGAAACATAGGTAGAACATGTTATTGAACATCGGAGGAAAGGTGATTCTTGTTAGAAAGTGGGCAAAGAACTTGGCTGAATTGTATTTGTGTTCTAATATTTTATGGAGGGTAGAAATTGCAGTTGATGCAATTGGATGTTTAGCTGAGAAAATTTCTAAGCAAAGTGTTGAAAGAGTGTCTTTGTTCCTTCTAACTGATTATAGTAAAATTTGAGGAGAAAAAAAAGAATTGAAAAAGGAATTGTTTTAAAAAAAGAGAGATACGAGCATCTGAGTGGCTCAGTTGGTTAAGTATGGGCCTTCAGCTCAGGTCATGATCCCGGGGTCCTGGGGTCAAGCCCCGCATCAGGCTCCCTGCTCAGTGGGGAGCCTGCTTCTCCCTCTGCCTGCCCCCTGCCACAAAAATAAATAAATAAAATCGTAAAAAAGTAAAAAGAGATAGTACTTAAAGTTGTGGAAAATTCTCAGCCTATTCATACAGCAGAGAATACTAAGAGTGTGGTCAAACAACCCTTTGCCAGTTTCAACTGAAGGGGATAGAGATGGAATGAAATGAAGGAAGGCTTTTGGACTTCTTAGAGCCTATAGGACTGGAATATAGTTATTTTAATGTGAGCATGCATTATTCTTCAAGATTAAGGATAAATGATCCTAAAGGCAAATGCAGAGATCATCAGGGCTGCCTCCTTGGTTTCAAAATGGGATAGGGTGCCATCGTCTCGGTTTGAAGAGATCAGGCTGCAGTTGCCAAGAGCATCCTGGGGCATAGGGCCGCCTGGCAGAGCCTGGTTGGAGAGGGACATGATTGCCACTGTCATAATCAAAACTTCTGTTTATTTATTACTGTTAATCATAACCCCAAACTGTACCACATCTCTTACCTATAAGCTAAAAGTATTAATCTTCTTTCTCCTTAAGTTTGCAGATAAATATAATTAATGATAGATGTATAATAGGAAAAAGACAAGAAGATTAATGAACCTTGGAGGAAATTACTGTTCTTACCTGTTGTGCCATTTGTAATATTGAGTACTCCAGTTTATTCTTACCCAGTGTCTTTTGGGGCATTTCAGAATATTCTTTATAAATATTTAAAACAAATTTTAAAAGACTTTGTGATTAAAATGCATTTGCATAAAAGAGATTGGTCAACGAGTATTTAGGCTTTAATATTTTGTTATTTTTCTAGGACATAAAGTGTGATTGAACTGAACGTCTGTTTGGCTGATCATCATGAACCGTGCTTTTAGCAGGAAGAAAGGTAAGTTTAAAGGACCTGGGGGTCAATTCAATATCACTGTGAAAATCAGGCAGAGATGTTAAGGACTCAGATTTTCCTATTAACAAACCACATGGTTTAGGAATGAAATTAGAATAGAGCAACACAAATATGCACACATTGCTAATTAACCTTTTCTGGTTATCGCCCTAATGAGAGTGGAGTTGTTTAATACATTTAGTTCAGAATACATTTATGACAGTATGTTTCCTGGCAATTTTATTCTGTGGTGTGAAACTGCAAAAAAATAAAGTGATCTGAAACTAGTCCTTCTAGATTGTGTAGCCATATAGTACTAAACTCCCGGGCTTATGTAAGTTTACCGTGATTTAAATTCATGTTTGTATATGTGTGCACATGCTTCACTTTTTATTGAATAATATGTGAGGATTGATGATAGGTAAATTGATAGCAATGAGGTCAAAATAACTTTGTGATTAATTTTGAGGTAAAATAAATATAAATGTAATATATCATAATTATCAGCATAGGAATGAAAGAAACATCTAGTTAAATGTTATTTTTTTAAGGGGCAGTAAAGCATGGCATTTGACAAATATTTCATGATATACTCATAGGAAAGATTGAAAAATTTGATAGTTTTATGTAGTTCAGTGAAGTTAAAATAATGTATCCTTGTCTTTCTGTAAGAAGTTTAGTGATGGACACAGGGCTCTGTCCTGTTTAATATGCTGTCAGTGAAGTGGGAGAGAATAATTAAACAAATGCTACTCAATTTCATAAGTGATTGATAGTAAGAAGAGATAAACTGATGTGGTAGAATTAACAGATATTTGGGGGAGAAATGACCAGTTAGGTCATATTCCACACTATAAACTCAGTAAGATACTGTAAATTGATGAACATGGGTCCAGAAAATCTAACACTTTCATTCCTATTTATATACTGTTATTATTTGGAAGGTGCACCTTAAGTGCTGTGTGGGTAAAAAATAGCTGAAGAATTAAGTCAACAATGTAGTTATCGAAGGTTCTAGTTAATTTTCTAATATATGAATAATGAACAGTCCAGAACCACAAAATAGATTGTTCTGTTCTATTCCGTGAAGTCCAGCATGGTGTGTTCTCCCTTTAAAGAATTGACACAATGTAACATGCCCAGATGAGAGAGGCTGGGAAGCTTCAGGACTTTCAACCTGGAACAAGTATGGTGGCAGAGAACCTGAGAACCCTTGGTGTGATCTTTCAGTGTTTGAGGGACTGTCATGTGGTCATGGGACTAAGTTTAATAAAGGTCAAATAGGTATAAATTACAAGGTCAATGTAATGCAGAAAGAAATTCCCACAAAGTTGTGCAAACATAAAATGGAATTATTGGAAGCACAAACTTTTTTTGTTATGGAAGTGAGAAGTCCTCAAACATTTGGCTGTGGTACAGAGGATTAATGTATTCAGGAGGGATTTAGGTAATGTGAACTTTCAGGGACTTTTCAACCCCAGGAAACTAGGAATTTATTATCTTATTTTTCTGAAAAAGGGGAAGGTAAAAATAACATTTCTTGTCATCTGTAGCTTGGTTCTGATTTAAAAACACATACTGAAAGTAATGTTTCTTTTAAATTTGTTTTACTAGTGGAAAAAGAATCTAGAAATAATTCTATGAGAAATGGAAGTATTTTTAATGAAGTAATAAAAATCTTACACCACAACTCATCACTTTAATCATATTTTATTTTTTTAAAGATTGTATTTATTTATTTATTTGAGAGGGAGAGTGGAGGAGCAGAGAGAGAGGGACAAGCAGACTCCGTGCTGAGCTCAGAGCCCAACATGGGGCTCAATCTGGTGACCCTGAGATCATGACCTTAGCCGAAATCAAGAGTCGGTTGCTTAACTGACTGAGCCACCCAGGCGTCCCATTATCTTATTTTTAAAAAAAACTTCTAGACTCTTTTTTTATTTGATTACAATTCCCTTTTCCCATGGTTTTAAAGTTGAAACTCCCAATTTCTAATTTCTCTTTGCTGAAGACAACGTTGGAGTTTTTCATGAGAAATCCCAAGTAACCAGCAATTGTATATTTGTTTCATTTGATGACAGTAGGAATACAGCCATGGGGAAAATTGGAGTGATTTAGAGAATCAGGAAACAGAAGCATTTGTTCTTTTCCTGCTTTGCCTCATTCTCTTTAAAAAATTTCTTGTGGGGTGCCTGGGTGGCTCAGTCGGTTAAGACTCTGCCTTCGGCTCAGGTCATGGTCCCAGGGTCCTGGGATGGAGCCCCTGCATCGGGCTCCCTGCTCAGCGAGGAGTCTGCTTCTCCCTCTGCCTCTCCCTCTCCCCCTGCTTGTGTTCCCTCTCTCGCTGTGTCTCTCTCTGTCAAATAAATAAATCTTAAAAAAAAAAAATTTCTTTTGATTTCTTTTTTTTCCTCAAGTCTAATGATTAATTATCCTTATCAATATTAGAGTATTAGATTATTGATCAATGTTTTACTCTAATTTCAAGTTAGAACTTGATACTGGAAGTTCTACCTACCAATTAATTCTGACTCTCATTTAGTGAGGTTGTTAAATGAAGAACTCGAAGAGCCTCTGCTGTTAGTTTCAACCAAACCACTATTTGGTTGAATTTTAATTTGAGCTAGAAAAATGGAATTTTATGAGAGAAGTCATATATTTTGACAATTGGGAGCTGTAATTGTACCCCTAGAGAATATATAATTTAGTCATGTTTCCAATAGCTAGTATCAGCATACATTGTATATTCTACTCTAAACAAAGCAAGATGGTCTTTAATCAGTAAAAGCTTGTCTTTCCTAAGTGTCCATTTCACTTGGTTATCACATGCAGTCTTACTAAATCGTCCTGAACCTCAGAAGCTTAAGGCAAAGAGATTGTTATCTTAAACTCAAACATATATGTATTTTTTTCTTTTTATCAACTCTTCCGTTAGTATTTTGCTGGTGTTCTTTGCTTGAATTAGCTATTGACTTCACTGATTTTCTTCGCAAATGCTCTAATGCTACAGATTCTAAAAAAGACTGCATGTATTAGAATTGGATTATTTGGACTATTTTGAAGAGATCTGTAAAAATTAGTCTTAACTTCATAATCATCAAATAAATGTTAATGAATGTATTTGTTCTATAGCTCCTTTTCTTTTTTTGGATTACTTTTTACTTTTACTTTTTAATATTTTAATATAAATTCAATTAATTAACATATAGTATATTATTAGTATCAGAGGTAGAGTTCAGTGATTCATCAGTCTTGTATAATACCCACTGTATAGCTCCTTTTCTTACGTTAGCCTTCTCTTTGAATTTTTAAAATCCTATATTCTGTTCATTATGTCAAAACTGAATAATTTAGTAAAAAAGCATAAAGTTTTGAATGTGAGTAAATAATTCAACTAATTGCACTTTATTTTAACTTACCAGTTGACATACCGATGAGTAGATATAATCACAGTGCATAGGACTTAAAATTCAATATTTAAATATTATTTCCCTTTTTATAATCCATTCATATGCATCTATTCACCCAACAGTGTTTAGTTTTAAATTTGATATACTCAGAGAAGATGCTTTCAATATGCTAAACTCTGGTGATACAGAAATAATGAAGTTCTGCATCATTCTTTTTTTTTTAAAAGATTTTATTTATTTATTTGACAGAGAAAGAGAGAGAGAAACAGCTAGAGAGGGAACACAAGCAGGGGCAGAGGGAGAGGGAGAAGCAGGCTTCCCGCGGAGCAGGGAGCCCGATGTGGGGCTCGATCCCAGGACCTTGGGATCATGACCCGAGCCGAAGGCAGATACTTAACGACTGAGCCACCCAGGTGCCCCTACTGCATCGTTCTTGATGAGCTCTTAATCTAAATGCATTTTGAACACTAAGATTTATTGACCCAGCAGCCAGAGTGGTTTGACACTTGCCAAATATTTTGAAATGTTGGCATTTCCCTTTACATGCCTGTTTACTCTTGAGTTAGTGATTACAGTTTAATTTCAAGGAAGGGGACATATTCCTGAATGTCTGTGTTGCTGTTTCTGTACCATTTCCGTATATCTGATTGCTTTTGTGGGCATAGATAGTGACCAGAGACCATCCTCTGTGCTCACTCTTCAAGGGCAGGCACATCTATAGCAGTTAATATAAAGAGTTTTATTCTGTCAGTTTTTTTCTTTTGCCAGAGTATAAATTAGGATGACAGTAAGGGTGCGTTTTAGAGATCTTTCAGGTTTTATAAACTGCCTGTACTAGAGGTATGTAATGAACACCCTCTAAACCATCACTTGATAATGTGAATGTAGATTTTTTTGTCATTGTAGCAATTGCAGTTTATCCACTGGTCATTTAATATTGTGATTATTTTAATCTGTCTTCAGTACCAGCTGAATATAACTATCTTCTTTCTAGGTCACTGCAATACAAGACTATAACAGAGGTAGTGTCATCAGTTTTCCAATAATAGTGGCTTATAGGAGAAAGCAGTTATCCCTCCTCCTCAGGGTTGGAATGAACCATTATATTCAGAGTTAGACTTTATATCCTTCCGAGTGGCATTGTATATCTTGGAAAAGGAGACATGAGAAGAATTGAGTTAAGGGGTTAAAAAAAGAAATTGGATTTTTTTGTTGTTGTTGTTAGGTTTCCTAAAGGCAGATCTTTGTTTTTGTTGTTTTGATGTTTTTATTGTTCTGGTGTATAGCATTGTGATTTATTTCTTTTAATATACAAGGGCAAGACTGTATCCTAAATCTAAGTACAAATTATTCTTGAATTAATCATATCACTATTCAGTAGCAGTCACAAAGAGAAAGCTAATTAAAATAGAAAGCCTTACAGGAAATAAAAATTTCACATATTATTGGCAATATGTCAATACTGCTTTCTGAAGCTTAGAATGTATTGCTTCTCAAAATATATCACCCAAGTACAACCATCACATATCCACTTTAGTAGTCAGAAATAGCCCTAAAATTCACCATGAGCTTGGGATTTTTATCAGTCCCTCATGTTTTGTCTTAGAAATTCTTATGAATATTGCATTGTACCCCATTAACACGTTTAATATAACTATAGTGCGTTATTTTCCAAATGGTATAAAATAATTGACATTCCAGAAATATAGGCCTTTTTCTTTTTCTTCGCATTCCCCCAGTTTGAAAACATATTAATGCTATCAAACTAATTTCTGTTAACACCATTTTCAATGTTCCGAATTGAATGTTGAAAACACTTTGTTAGTAATCTTTTTCCTTTCAGTATGTACTTATTTACTACTTTCCATGGTAAAATATGTCTTTGATTCTGTTCTGTTCTGAGTATTGATTCTAAATTTTTAAATTCCATGAGAAATAAAATACAAAACTCTGCTAAAGAAGACAGTAGTTTTTGAAGATTTCAAAATTTTAGTTTCCAAAAAATGCAGTTTCCAAAAAATGGTCAAATTTGATTTGTTTAATGTTTTTTGTTTTTTCCCCACTTAACACAGTCCACAAAATGCTTTGGTAGATGGGTAGAATATATAAATAAAATTCAAACTTGAATGAAAAATATTTTTTCTATTTCTAGCAATAATATACAATTCAAATTATTTTCAGTATCTTCTCTCCTTTTAGTCACATTTATTTTTAATATTCTCTTACACTAATCTAAGAAATATTTTAAAGATTTAAGATTTATTGATTAGGGAATTTAAAAAAATACCCCGTAAATCATGAGAGTATAAATGGAAAGAAGAAAGATGTCACATAATCACATAATTGATATAATTGTCTTCCACTGAGTTATTTTTTTTTATATTCTTTAGAAACTTAGTATCACTTTATTATTTGGATACTTTTTAAAGGAAAAGCTAGGGCCCTTTATATCAAGGAAAGAATCTTATAAGCACTTTCCAGCTATACCATTCTCCTGTCTGACTAGTTATTCTTTCTCAATTTAGCAAAAGAATCAATTTAGAAGTGCTCCCACCCATATCAGACTCCTTATGCTAATGAATGAATGAATGACCCCCTCAGAACGTGTAATTGAATTTAACCTTGTGTATTCTTCATTGCAGACAAAACATGGATGCATACACCTGAAGCTTTATCAAAACATTACATTCCCTATAATGCAAAGGTAAAGTGGTTTATATGATATTTATTTAATTTATCTTTGTTATGGTATTATTATTAAATTCATGGTTGATCTAAGAAAGATTGCTTATGCATTGGCATTTCCTAGTAGATAATTCCTAAAAAAAAGTTTGCGTGATTTTGTAATATATAGTATGGGAAGTGATTCTTTTCTCCAAATAAGTAATTCTTTTCTTCCCCTGTCACTCCAAATAAGCGATTATTTCATTTAATTATAAAGAGTATTCTTTATAATTTCTGTCTGTCACGCATGTATTTTCTTCAAATAATTTAGCTATCTTTAAAATTATTTGCAGTATCATGGCCTGTAGGAAATAAAACAACCAACAAATTTAGCTTCCTTTAAAAGCATTTTAATGTTGCATTGCATAGACGAGTGTAAAAACTAACCTGATCATGAGAGAAATGAGCCAAAATTGAATGAATGCAATTTTCATTCAAAAAAAGAGACAAAATTTGAACTGTTAAGAAAACATAGAAAAAGCACATTTTTGAATCTCGTCTTCAGTTTTCTTCATTTTAATAAATAGAAGCAATCTATACTCCATATCTTCAAAGAAAAGGTCCTTAAAGAAAGCTGTTATTGTATAATTAGGGAGCACAAAACCTGAAATAGATTTCAGAGAAATCTGAATCTAAACTTGGAAGACACAGAAGAGAAAGTTGTGTTAGGGAACATGCAAGTAGGTCAGATTTAAGTAACTGACCTTTGGACACAGCATGGGGAAAACAGAAAATGATAAAATTATTTTCATAAAGAGAACTTAAGGATTTATGAATTAGCAAACTCTATACTGGGATATAATGAGATGAGTTGTAAGGAATGATTTCAGGAAAAATTTAAAAAAACATATATTGAACAGAAAGTCAATGCTGTTTAATAGAGAACGTCTTAAGTGCTGGTCTGAGTCTGTATCAGTAGGAAGAAGCATTTATAAGACCATCTAGAGATTCGTCCAGCTCTGTTGCTCAGCAGTGAGATTTGTAGAGTATGGCAACTCCATTTTTTCTTGCTGACTTTGTAGCAAAGAAATACTCTAAAATATTTTTGGTGTAAAGCTAATACGGTTGAAATCACTGCAATGCTTGGGACTTTCCCTCTGGTGTTAACATGAGGTTTGATTGGCATGATTTAGCATGAAAAGTTTAGTTAGCTGAATGAGAAAAATTGAGTTAATATCTATCTCTTCCACAGATATTCTTCATATTAGCTATTGAGAAAGTATATGAAAACTATTTAGAAAAAAATTAATCTTGAAAACCACTATTATTTTAAAGGGCGTGCTCGTTTTTGATAATACTATCGATCATACTAGAATCATATATTTAAGTGAAACCACCACATTTTATTTATTTATTTATTTATTTGTTTATTAAAAGATTTTATTTATTTATTTGAGAGAGAGAGAATGAGAGAGAGCACATGAGAGGGGGGAGGGTCAGAGGGAGAAGCAGACTCCCC